TTGATGAAAAATAACGCTAATTAAAAGAGAAAACAATTTATTAAACAAAACTAGTGTAGAAAGTGATTTAATTGCTAGTTCATCTGCAGTAAATGTACGCCCAGGTTCTTATGACATTTCACTTTTCTTGTCAGATCTTTTATAATCACAATGTAGGATATTTAATACCAAATGTGGTCCAAATATAAATAAAACAAAAATCGAACTACAACTGAAAATAATTCATCTAAGGTTAAGATAGGATTTGCTAAGTTTGCTCATAACGTAGATACTTCCACTAATTCAATTAGAAATTTTCGATACCTAAATACTAAAATGAATTTTTAAAAATGAAAAAGTATTGTTGAAGATTTCATTTTATCTTTAATTGAAAACTAAATGATTAAATTTACTATTTCCATTAAGTAAAAAAATCTGGTGTATTTCAAGTAACAATTATATAGATCAGAATCTCAACTTTTCTGACGGTTTCAGAGAATTTTCTGAAATGCAGCCATTAAGAAATTTGTAAACAAAATTTTCGGTTTTAAAAATTTTCCAAAAATAAAATATATATTTGTGACACGTTATTTGAGTAAAATTAGCAAATTTAAAGTTAAATTAATCGGATTTGAAATAAACATTACTTACCTAGCATAAAAAAGTAATATACAAACATTTCTTAATGACAGATCTTGTTTTCTTTCATCTTTATTGACGTATTGATAAGTTCCAAAGTGATAGCAGCTATGCTGTTTTCCCGCGAAAATTAAAGGTACGTATTCTACCTGAGGAGGGACGGTGGAGTAATGGATAGCGAGCTCGGATTGAGGAATCGGAGAGCCGAGTTCGAATTCTAGTCGATTCATTACGTGCTAATACCCTTGGGAAAGCTATGAATCCTCTTCTCCTCCCTGCCAGCTATGGGTAAATAGCATGACAGATCGGGTTCTATAGCCTTGGATGGCAACTGGTCTACCACAGAAAGAAATGGCAACTTATTCCGGGAAAAAATCTGCCTCGTCAGTTGTGTATCGAAAAATACAAGTTCGGCTAAGCGTGTATCACGCATGGTACATAGCTGAATGACTGATCTATTCTAAAGCAATAAGAGGCATAATTATAACAAAAGAAAGTCATAACAACCTAAAACCAGAAATTTGCACTATAACCTGTAATAACAATCACAAGTAATGCATGGGTGAAACTTCAAGGAATTTACATAAAATAATATATTGATATAAAAGTGAGGTTGGTTGTTTTTTGTTTATCAGCATATCAGCCTCTATATGTTATTTAAATGCGAAATCGAAATATTTTTTTCTTTTTTTAAAAAAATAATAATTGTCACGGTGATACAAGTCTTACTAATTAACCCATATTTGGGGGAAAAGAGATTGGTCCATACCTTTTCCCAATGTTATTTCCGACTGAAACGCGGCTCTTCGATTTCCAATAGCGAGAAGTTATCCATTACACCACCCGGCCATCCAAGTGCCTGATATTCCCAAGTGGTCACCCAACTAGAAACTGACCAGGCTCGGTGTTGCTTAACTTCGGTGATCGGGCGAGAACCGGGAAGACAAAAGAGATTTTTTTACAAAAGAACACACTCAATACATTTGCCGTGATGATTCTGTCCATAATTTAGACTTAAAGAATGTAAAAGAGTAAGTAATTTACTAAAACGGAAATTTGTAGAAAGTACTTTAAACGCACAGTAAATTTGCGTCCAGGTTCACACAACATTTCACCTTACTTAACAAATCTATTGTTATCCCAATATAAGTATCATCAAATTTGTTTCGATTCGAGCTTATGAATTAACATGCTCTCATCTTCAGTGACATTGTATATTGATTCGACCATCTTTTGCCAGCCTTCTCTGTCCTCTGCGAGTTTGCGCATTCGTTGCAGATCTTCCTCGATTGTAAACTTCTCCAAAGGAAAAAGTGAGATCTTTCAGCCTTATTCTTTTCAATGTCTCGGTTCAGCGTTGTGACTATGGTGGTTCTTGGATTACCTTTGAACTTCAGTCTTTTCAAAGTAAAACTCCATGGCCTCGTTAGCTGGACATTCTAGATTCATTCTGTTTGTTGATATTCGTATGTTTTTTTTTCTTGAACAGTGAACTGTATTACAGACACACGGTCTGATACTTTCTAATATCGTCGTACATTATTCTTCCATTTTCTCTTGACAACAAATCCGTTTCCATAATATTTGTATTCTGTCTTTAAACATATCAACTATATACTGATATTTAAAAACCACAGCGCTAAAAAACGAAAGCGTTTGGAATTTGAATAAAGTCGGTTAAACTGTACATGTAGATACATCGTACGCCAGAAATTTAAAGTTTAATGTTTCTACATCTACCTTCCTTTTTACGTATAATTATAACTGACGTTTTTGTTGCATAATATTTTTCGATTCCTTCTTTATACCTATTTAATTCTATCAATAAGAAAATTATTTTAGCCTGATGAAGACGTTTTGAAGAAATACGTTACACAGGCATTTTTTCGATTTTGACATAACGATTCTCAAATAAATAAATGACTTCTAATAACCATGCAGTTATTGGTCATCAATCTGAGTTCTTACTCGGAAATGGTGTGTAAAAATTCGAAAGCAGAACGAGTAGTTACGATACAAAAGAAGAAAAAAAAATTCCACTGAAAAAAAAAAGAGAGTGAATGTCAAGGGGTATAACTCCGACTAACTCAATGCAAATGTGACTGGTTTCTGAACTTACTTTTTGCCCATTTGAATATTTCCATTCCGCTAGCGGAAATGATCAAATTTCCATCAGATTTCCATCATGTTTTGTGTCAGCTTTGAAAATTAAGAATGAATAAAGAAAAGAAAGCAGAGCGAAAGAAATAGTCGATGAATCGACTCGGGGGGTGGGGGGGAATGCATGAAAAGACAGTCTGCATTTGCTTGGATAAAAGAAGGACAAAAACGAGAAAGTTGTTCGAGGTTTCATGAAAAATAAATGGGAAATATGGCGGAAAAGATGACTGACGTCATTCCACAGAGCTTGAAAGCACGTGAAAAAAAAAAAAAGGATATTTTATAGACATTTTAAAATGACGTTTCCTGTGTTGAATGACATCTCATTTAATTCAGGTTGTTACGTTTGTATGATAATAGCATTGACTATGTTAAATAACTGATGTATCTTTTATCTCCTTTTATGTGCAGCATCCGACGTAGGCGATTACGGCTCTCCACATCTTCCTGTCCCTTGTAGTTCTTAATAAGCTTCTTTTTTTTTTGTTATTTCTCCTAAACCCTGTTCTACCACCCATTTAAGCGAGAAGAAAGAACAATAAATTAACAGATTTCAAGGAGACGTTTCATTATAAAAATTGTAGTCGGTAGTAGGCAAGGACTTTGAAAAGATTTTCACTAGCAAGACGTACGAAATAAGAAACTATTAGAATAAAACATACGCTTATACTCTGGGTCTTTAGCAATAAAGTGATGAGATGTGCTACCAATCTAGTACTACGCTTAAATTCATGAAACCTAGGTACGAAAGAGGTAAATTCAACAGAATAATTGCCGTGAAAGTATTTCTACAAGGAGTGGGAAAGGGAATGACGCCGAGATGCTAAGTCAGGACGAATAATATTGCAGATTCTTATCCGGATTTTGTCCACAACTTTAAAATACGTAGCAGAAGCCGCAGATAAGATGTGGCAACAGTATTCAGTGCACGGAAGAATTGTATACTTATAAAGATGTAAGACGCAAGTAGGTGAGAAAAATTGTCTAGTGAACTAACTTTCTGTGGACGAGAGTTAATAATTGAATCGATATACACATTCCGATTCCTATTAGAGGAAAACGTTAATCTATGAGTTACCCTCCTGAAAACACTATGAATTACCCTCCTGAAGGTACTATGATTTACCCTGCTGAAAGCACGATGAGTTACCCTCCTGAAAGCAGATTTCCATCATGTTTTGTGTCAGCTTTGAGAATTAAGAATAAATAAAGAAAAGAAAGGAGAGCGAAAGAAATAGTCGATGAATCGACTCGGGGGTGGGGGGTGTTGGGGGGATGCATGAAATGACAGTCTGCATTTGCTTGGATAAAAGAAGGACAAAAACGAGAGTTACTCTCCTGAAGGTACTATGAGTCACCCTCCTGAAGGCACTATGAGTTACCCTCCTGAAAGCACTATGGGTTACTCTCCTGAAGGTACTATCACTTACCCTCCTGAATGCACTATGAGTTACTCTCCTGAAGATACTATGAGTTACCCTCCTGAAGGCACTATGAATTACCCTCCTGAAGGTACTATGACTTACCCTCCTGGAAGCACTATGTGTTACCCTCCTGAAAGCACTATGAGTTACCCTCCTGAAGATACTATGAGTTACCCTCCTGAAGGCACTATGAATTACCCTCCTGAAGGTACTATGACTTACCCTCCTGAAAGCACGATGAGTTACCCTCCTGATGGCACTATGAGTTACCCTTCTGAAGCTTAACATCAACCACGCTGGAGGAAGCCAAAAAAGATTATTGTTGATAAGTTCTTGTTATCTATTGCTCAATTTTTTTTATAGAATAATGCAAAGAATAAATTGATTTTTCTCGCTTAATCATGTCTTTATAATATCTATGTTTATATCACTTGGAATTAAAAAGACGGGAGTTTTTGATTTTTTTGATTGAGGGTTTTGAGGTTTTTTGCAGTCATTAAGTTGATTGGTCTACTCGTAGAAATAGGGAAAGTTTTTTCGAGGACTAATGTATTTGATTAGGATTTCGTCGTGCCACGACGTATATCAATTTATATTTTTACCTTCCATCATCATGGCTGATGCTAACCTCCAGGAAAGAGAGTTTGGCATCCGCCACATTGCGTTTTTCCCGATCTATCGTTTTCACTGATATGCATTAGAATGAATATATTGAGTCAATTGCTAAATCTTCTCCCAAGAAGGTTTGTAGCTAGCAGTGTCCTTCATTCAGTTAAACAGTTAAATTGTAAGTATTAGTTTCTATCTATCTATCTATATCTATCTATCTATCTATCTATCTATCTATCTATCTAACGCAGCCTCTTCATTATCTATCTATCTATCTATCTATCTATCTATCTATCTATCTAACGCAGCCTCTTCATTATCTATCTATCTATCCATCTATCTATCTATCTAACGCAGCCTCTTCATTATCTATCTATCTATCCATCTATCTAACGCAGCCTCTTCATTATCTATCTATCTATCTATCTATCTATCTATCTATCTATATATATATATATATATATGCGTGTGTGAGTGTGTGTGTGTGTAAAATATCGCACATAAAACGATGGTGTTAATAAAAATAGTGCTCGATGTAATAAAACAGAGCTATTAAGTATATATTAATAAATATACATATAATCCCTCATCGGTAGCACGTTTTGGAGTTTTATGCACAATGCAGTCTTCAGGTGCTGGGTAATGACTTATGCAGTACTCAGTTTCTACCCAGCACTTGAAGATTGCGTCTTGCATGAAACTCCGAGTCGTGCTACCAGTGACTGATAACATGTTTATTTATTAATTTCCTGAGTAAACTTAGAGCATATTTTTCTTCGGTGTTTTAAATATTTCATTCATCGTGTCTAGTATGAATATGTCATTGATATATCGAACATATATGATGGGATTGAAGAAATTGTTAAACATTTCGTTTTCTACGTGAGTCATGTAGAAATTGATTAAATTGGGACCGAGAGATGAACCCATAGCTACACCGTCAGTCCGTCTGTAGATGCCGTAATGATCATAAAAAATGATTATTTTTGAAATGGGCGCAATGAATGTTTATAGTTTTTCTTGGTAGAGAATACGTCACCATCTAAAGAGGCCAGGATATCGATATTGGGTTTATTGGAGTGCAACATTTCAAGAAAATATCTGTTTGGTTGTTAAGGCCGGAAGTATTTGTTTACACTTTTGGATAAGTAATTTTCAGGGTAAGGTATTTGTGAAATTATGAAATATAGTGGCAAGCTGTATACGCCTGCTTTTACTTTCTCATATAGATTGCAGGGGCAATAATAAGACACAAATATCTGGAGTTTGATGGATCCTATTTCAGCATTATTGGCTGTAATAAGTTTATTTATCAATATTTTTAGTGGGGCGTTCATTTCATACATTGGGGCTTATCAAGTTGAAACAGTGGTTCTCGTTCTGTCAGCGAAGTTAAGCAACATCGAACCTGGTCAGTACCTAGATTGTTGACATCTTGGTAATACAAGGAGGGTGTAAGCATAGACGTGGAATTGGCTCGGAATTGGAAATTGAAGAGCTGGGGTCCAATTTCAGCCGGATTCGTTATATTCATTTACGCACAACTACCATTGGAAAGGTATGAATCCACTTCTCCCTCTTCAGCTATGTATTATCTCCCAAATATATTCTAACAACCCCAAAATATTTTCTAGCTTTAAATAACCTACAGTGGGTTGATAAGCCGTAAAAAATAAATCAAGCTAATCAGATCCATTCATTTGATTTAGATATGTTGCCGAGAACAGAATTTTGATTTGCTCTGATATTTTTTCTTCCAAGTATCGTATCTCTTTAAGGAGTGAGCGATCATGGCTCTCCACGGCTTTCTGTTTTTTTTTTCTGTCTCTTAGTAAGCTTTGTCCTTTTTCTATCTCTCTTAATCCCCGATCTGTCAACCAGCTACTTTAGGTTATTCGCTGCTTTCCTCTGACTTTCTTGCTTTCAACTTGTCCTTTGAGTGTTAAATTCCCCAAGCCCTATTTCCTCATTAAAAGCTCTAGAAATTGCAATTGTCGATTTATGATTTTTTGTATAAGCGTCGTTTTTGTTTCCAGTTACCTTAAAACTTCCTCGTTATACTCATGTTCCAGCCATACTATTCTCAGCATCCTTCTGTAGAACCACATTTTTGCGGCATCAAATCTCTTCTCCATCTGCGAGGAAATTGTCCAGCAGTGACTAGGGTACGGGAGGACAGATATTACATAACAATTCAGCACTATTTCTTGGTTCCTAAAAAAATGTTAAAGCTTCTTTATACATAGTTAAGCAGTTCTGGGTATGACGATAAACTACATCTGGCAGCAAAATCTGTCTTTTTGCCTCCAACTCCATCTCCATCTTTACAGTGTTTGATTTCCTTCGTAACCTTTTGTTTGAAGTAGTGTGGAACATCAGGATCTTAATTATGTCATTATTTTATGTTCGAGTTACGTGTGATATGCATTTTAGTTAGTGACGTCTTTGAAAGTCGTGTGGTTTGTGTGATGTGGTTCCAAATGATGTGTCCCTGTTATTTTGCAAAGTTTTCTGTGCTTCTTTATCGCCAGTCCGAAGGATGGTGGTCCTCGCCACGTTCTATATGTTTCATTCACTGGAAGCCATTTTAAGCATTGATCTGAGACAACTGTATATGTAATGCTGGCCACTAATGGGTTAAAATGTTACCAAAGACAGGTCGCCCTTTTCTTAATGACATTGAGAGGATAACAACAGCAACCAGGAGAAAACGGGACGGTCGAAATACTTCTTCTTTTATGTACTGTGTACCTTTAGAACGTTGGTGATCATGGCTTTTCACAATTTCCTATGCTTTGTAGCTCTTAGCAAAATCTGTCTTTTTGCCACCAACCCTGTCTTTCGTTCCGTCATCCATTCAAACAAGCTGGTCAAGTAGGTGGATAATTGTCACTCTTGTCCCTCTTGCCTTTGATATTTCCTGTGGGCGTCAAATTCTCCAAGCCCGTCTTTCTCGTTATGCGTCCAAGAAGTTTCAGCAGTCTTCGATTCTGAGCAAAATTGTCGTTTTTGGTACGTATTTTCTCCCTGCTTACGCGCTCCAGTCGTAGTGTTCTCAGGCACCCTTCTTTAGAACCACCTCTAATTTTCTCTTCGTCTGATGGGAGATTGTCCAGCATTCACTGCCATATAGCATAATTAAAATTACAATGCAGTTCACCCTTCTTTTTTGTTTCTAATAACATTTTCTAGTCTCTTAATATTTTGCTTAGTTTTTGAAAAGCATTTTTTTCTACCCCACTGCGCATTCCAATACTTGCCAAATATATAAATTTCTGGAATTGCTTGATTTTTGAACCAATTCTTGAATTTTGAACGAAATATTGTATATATATATATATATATATATATAATACTATATTAGAGTGTCGTCCGAAAGATTTGCCACCCCTACAATTCTTGGTTCACATCTTGTTTTTTGTTTTGTTTTTTGTTTTTTTACCTCTGGTTGCTAACGATAGATTCTTTTTGCAATTGATAGTTAGTCCTTTCTTCTAACTTTCCTTTACTTCCCAGAAACTTCTGATTGTAAAATAATGTCAAAGTGGAAGATTTATTGAAACATAATTTGAGTTAAAAAAGAAATGAAATAATAAAGTTCAAAAATTCAAAATCACCAGGAATAAGCAAATCATGAACCCGTTTAAAGAAATTCAAGTAATGGATGAAATCGAAGGAATAAATGAAAGGGAAGGAATAAATGAAAGAAAATGAATGAAAGAGAAAGAATAAATGAATGAAAAGGAATAAGTAAAAGAGAAAGAATGAATGTGTTCTAGATTAAATAAGACACCCTCGGTAACACAAAATGAACAATGCAAGACGTATTAATAAAGAACTCAAAATGATTCAGAAGAGTCCGTTGGAGTCAGTTGAGGAGAATTTCTAGTGACGTCACTGCGATTAACCTGAGTGAGGCCTAATATTATAACTGATAAGAGCCAGTTATAAGAAAATGAAAGAAGAGGAATAAATGAAAGCGAATAAATAAATGAAAGAAAAATAATAAATAAAAGAGAAAAAATAAATTAAAGAATAGGAATAAATGAAAGACATTGAAAAACTGAAAGATAAGCAATGAATGAATGAGTAAGAATAAATAAAAAAGAGGAATAAATGAAAGCGAATGAATAAATGAAAGAAAAATAATAAATAAAAGAGAAAGAATAAATTAAAAAAAAATATTAAACGAAAATTTGGTCCCAGATCTTCAATATTTCTCCTCACTTCAGCAAGCAGTCTAAGAAAACCCTTCCGATGAGACACCGGCAAATGTGGGTATATCAGGAATGAAGGCAATGTGTTCGACCCCAGCGCATCCCGGAGCCCGTGGGGCATATTTTAGATGCTTCCATGTACCAATTATTGTCGCTACAACTTTGGCGTTCTCATCTTTGTTTTCATCTCCAGTTTTTTTTCTTCTTTCTTGTTATTAACGTCGGGTCTTTTCGGGAGGTGAGTGGTGGGGGGTTACCGTTGTCATTTTTCGTTTAGTTAGTGGTGAGGGTGGTGTGCGTGGCCTTTATCATTCATCTAAGTGTGGGTTTTTATACGGTCACACTCGCGTACGTTCATAATTACGCGGACTCATGCATGCATAAAATTATACATCATTTAGACACATACAACCTAATTTATATAGAGACATATATATATATATATATATATATATATATATATATATAAAAAAGGTTTGTGTGTATCTGTGTGTTTGTATATCTGTACTTATACACACACATGCATATATATATATATATATATATATGTATGTATGTATATATTTCTGCGTATCTTACCTGTACTAAGATACACATGCAGATATATATATATATATATATATATATATATATATATATATATATATATATATATATATATCTGTGTGTGTGTGTGTGTATATATATATATATAAGTGTGGATGGTCCTACACGAAACCTTCACCACTGTAATCAAATCTCATGTGCTTTTGTCGAGCTGTCGGTTTCCTAGGAACTGATCTGCTTGACCCTCATAGGTCGTATTTGACAGGGAGAGTCGAGTATATATATATATATATATATATATATATATATATATATATATATATATATGTAAGACACACACACACACACACATATATATATATATATATATATATATATATATTTATTGATGCTATCACATATCGTGAAGGTTTGTAAGCACATCATCATTTTCCTCGCACAAAATGATGAGGCGCCATGTCCTTTAAGATATTTTACGAAGCTGTGCTTTGTTGATAGTTGCAAAGTTTCTCCGAATGGTGTGTTGCTTGTTTTATTGTTTTCATTACTTTTTTGAGTACGGGTGACAAGACTTTCGGACCACCCTTTATGTTCAATTTATTTATCCCTTGTATGAGTTTGCGTGTATACTTTTTGATAAATAAACAAAACATCTATTCAAATATGTGTATCCTATAAAAAACACGTTTAAACAGTAAAATAAAGATATGCCGTATCAATAAATGAAAAATGCATTGATAAACTATATATACATATGTAATTATTTATTTAAAAATTATAACATAAATATGTTATAAAATCACTACAAAAACAGTCATTTTGTTTCAACACCTCTGGTGTCTTATCAAGTGATGATGTTGAATTTAGATTGTAGAATAAAGGTTTTAACACGTTCAAATTAATTAACCAGCCCTCGTAAGGGGAAACGCTGTTACATGAGTTGAAATGACCAATCAAAATACGATAATTCAAAAAACTTGACAACGAAGTAAGGTTATAAAAACTATTAACTGCTTTAAAGTTAGGTTTATACTAAAATAGAATTTATTCTAACTAATAAGTATTAAATTGTACGATAAAATTTGAAATTAAAATTAAAAACTACTCATTTATGTTATAATTTTTAAATAAATAATTATATCTGCTCTACTCTGTATTAAGCACTCTTTTAAGAATAAAACAAAATTTAATTGTTGGTTATTGGAATTTATTCCGTATACAGCAATCATATACTTGTGTATATATATATACATACTTTTACTAATGATTTTTTTTTTCATTTATTAATATATATATATATATATATATATATATATATATATATATATATATATATATATATATATATATATATATATATATATATATATATATCAAAACGTTACTATACTATACGATATATATAAACACGTAACTATGCTATATATATATATATATATATATTATGAAATGGACAAAGTCCGACAATTATTTTAAGACATTTTTATGTTTAACATTCTTTTTAGATACAAATATTGAAGTAAATGCTCTGTTTATAATAAAAAGTATTAAACATTTACCGGCCTGAATGCCCGAGAAATTTTCATAGAAAATATTCATCCTCCGACAGGATTCGAAACTGTATCCTATACGGAACCGTCATTTAGCCTGATGTGCCTTCACCGAAGGAGCGTTCGGTTACCAAGGTTTCTATGAAAATTTCTCGGACATTCAGGCCAGTAAATGTTATTTAATACTGTTTATTATAAACAGAGCATTTACTTAAATAGTTGTATCTATAAAAAGAATGTTAAACATAAAAATGTCAATAACAGTTACTTGACTTGAGAAACATATTTTCATGAAAATTTGTTTTAACAGAAATTTTTAGAAAATAAATAAATATACTGTTTCATAAATATGGGTATTGCACTATAAATTTTAAGTTTTAACTTATAATATATGTATAGGAGGCACGGTGGAGTACTGGATTGAGGAATCGGAGAGCCGAGTTCGAATTCCAGTCGAATCCACTACATTCAATTACGTGCTAATACCCTTGGGAAAGGTGTGAATCCTCTTCTTCTCCATCTAGATCTGGGTAAATAACAGGACAGACTAGGTTCTATAGCCTTGGATGGCAACTGGTCTAGGAGAAGGACAACTCTGAATTCAAAACCTGCGTGGAGAGTCATTTGGGAACCTTGTGGCACGTAGTGCACCAGGTCTCTGTATTCGGCCATTCAAAAAGTTTTGGATGGTCCTGCACGAAACCTTCACCACTATAATCAAATCTCATGTGCTGCTATCGGTTTCCTACGAACTGATCTACTTGACCCTCATACGTCGAATTCGACGGGAGAGTTATATATATATATATATATATATATATATATATATATATATATATATATATATATATGTGTGTGTGTGTGTGTGTGTGTGTGTGTGAGTGTGTGTGTGTGTGTAAAATATATAGAAAATAGGAAAGAACTCGTTAGGTAAATAATCCAAAGTTCTTTAGTATTTTGTTATTATTTTAAAAAAAAATAGTGCTCGATACAAAAAGTAGAGCAGAAATATAATTATTTATTCAAAAATATGATTCAACGCTACATAAGAGTTCTCATGTTTCAAAATTTTTTGGGGAATCAAATTTTGCTTGAAGATGGAACAGAGTATGGTACTTTAATTCAATTTAATTCAAATAATTATATTGAAGTTTTCGGCTCTTGTTTTGAAACATGAAAACTCTTATGTAGCGTTGGAATCATATTTTTAAATAAATAATTATATATATATATATATATGTATATATATATATTTGGTGCAGCCTATAAATTGTCAATCATTTTATGTTCTTTATTTAGCGCATGTTTCATTGTTTATTTTTGATTTTTTCAACTGCACAGGGTCAGTTGGGCGCCGTCTGTGAGAAAAGTCACACCGACAGAAATTTGAAAACGCTATGCTCTACTGCTTTGTATTTGCACGAGAAGCTTCAATATGCACATTTCAGAATGAATGGTGTCAATCTGAAGAGAGCGCAAAGCATTCGGAATGAGT